CTCGAGTCAGGAAGCTGTTTAAGCTCAATTGGCCGTTTCTATTTAACAAGGGAGGGAAACTTTTTTAAAGAATGCTTCTGAAGAGGCTCCTTTGGACACAATGATAACACTGGAGAAAAAGCAAAGGTGCTTCTGGATCAGAAAAAACCCCAAATTATTTTTAAATGTATCTATTCCATTGTTAAAAAGTGATGACACTGACATTATCAACACATCCATAGCCTTACCCATCCACAAATGTCACTGTCCAGAGGTCAAAGCCAAAATAATTCCTTTATATAATAAAGAATTATTACAAAATTTTTCAAACTTAGTTTTTAGGAGATATTTCTGATGATGACTTACCTTCGTCACCTCGAGGTTGCTGAGGAAACATGTAGTTAGTCAATACTCTTTGTTTTGTTTCTGGGTGAGCTTCAGTTTGTAAAGGGATAAGGGCCTTTGACTGCAAAGGAAAAACAGAACAGGATCAGAAAGACAAAAATGTACCTGTGTGTAATGGAAGAAGTTTCCAATGGTACCAAATAAAAGTCTTGCATTCATCCTTCAAGGCCCTGAATGAAAACCGAACGTAAGGCCTGGTAGAGTGGAGAGAGGTAAGATATGAGAACATATATAATCCAAAGAAGATGGCTGCCAAAACATATTTCCGAGCTCTTGGGATTCCAAATTGAATGGCAGTGAAGATTATTATCCAAATTACAGAAATGTTCTTTAGTCCAGAAATGTCCTAGTCTGGTACCTCATTAAGGTTTGGAGAAAACTCGGACTCTCAAAGGCTAGGTCAGGGGTGGGGAACCTGAGGCCTCGAGGCCACATGGGGCCCTCTAGGTCCTCGAGTGCAGTCCTCTGACTGAATCCAAACTTCACAGAACAAATCCCCAGTGACATTTGGATTCAGTCAAAAGGTCACACTTGAGGACCTAGGGGGCCCCATGTGGCCTCAAGGCCGCGGGTTCCCCACCCTTGCTAGGCCAATGGCAAGCCCTATCAAGGTGGAGAGGCCTTAAGTAGAGTTCTGATGATGGATTAAATTATGTCATCTGATGAACAACTTGGCTAAGCTTAGAGATGTTCATCATCAGTTGTCCTCAGGATGACAAATTTTTAGCCATGGCAACCCTCAGGAGATCATAAATGTCAGAGAAGGTAGAAGGCATATCGACACAGACAAAGTCACAGAACCCTGAGTCACTGAAGACAGAATACAGTTCAGTTTGATTGATCAGCATCACCAAAGCTGTGCTCTGTTGGGGAATCTCCAAACTTAATCAGTTACTTGTTTCTTTCTTTAAGGAAAAAAAAACCTTTATGTATAATTCTGCATGCCCATTAATTTTCAATGATGTGTTTTCTTAGTAATACATATAAAATCTAATCTATATAAAGAGCTTTAAGGTTTGCAATGCACTTACATATATTATCTCATGTGTGATCAAGCATCATAATGAAGTTATTACCAAACTCATGAAATGCAGAGTTCAAAGATTTTACAAGATTTAAAATGCCATCAAGAACAGTTACTTTGAATTTTTGCTTTATAATACAGATAAAGGATACATTTGTTGACCAAGTAGTGTGAAGTCTCTCTCTCTCTCTCTTTCTCACACACACACGACCTCCATTAATTTTAAAAAAAGTTGATTTATTGAAATACTTTCAAAAACCCATTGAATATGATACAAACAATTTTATATAATACTTCAAAGATATGTCTGAAATAGTCAAATTATTTAGTATTTTAAAAAGCCTGTTCACTGGATGGCATTTGTTAACATAGAAAAAAATAAAAAAATTTTTGATATAGCATTCCATATGGAAATAAATCAGGAGCACATGAAAAACCATTATTTTCAAGAAAAAGTTAATGATACAATCTCTGTTCTATCCAAATTCCCACAAAAGTAAATCATGATTTTAGTTGAAGTTCTCCATGACTCAGGTCTCTAAAATAGATTCTTTATTTCACATTGGTTTCAGAATGCAGTATGACTTAATAATGATGTATAGTGATTCCTTGATGCACTAAAAATTTCACATATTGATAAGGTATTTTAGGTGACAGTCCCAAAGTCACCTATGTAAATAGGAGGAGACCCTGTTATGAGCGCAGTATCCGGAACATACCTGTCACATGCTTCCTGAACCAGAGGGTCAACTGAGCGGGTCACTAAGAGTGACCAAGGAGTCTGTCTGTGGCCCTGTGCTGTTCACCATGTTTATCAAGGATTTAGAAAAAGCAAAGATGGCATGCTGATCAAATTTCTAATGACATAAAGCTAGAAAAGACAGTTAATGTATGGAAGAATTGGGATTCCAAAAGGTGACACAGTCTCTAACTTTGGGCAAAATCTAATAAGAATCAAATTAATAATGATAAATATATGGCCTTATAATTGGGTAAAAACATCAACTTTACAAGGAAAAGATGAGGGGGATGGTGGTATCTGAAAAGAAGCTAGGAGTTATAGTGGGATGCCTGTTTACTATGAATCAAGAGTATGATATGGCAGCCAGAGAAGCTAACGTGATCCGGACTGCAGAAAGATGTCCGGTGATCAGAAGGAAGTGGGTGGCATTCTCTCCTTTTCTGCCCTAGCCAGATCACATGCAGAGTACTGGGGGCAGTTTAGGCACCATCATCTTTTAGGAGAGCATCCAGGTGAAGTTGTCCAGGATGGCACAGGACCTCAAGACCTTGTTATATGAGCTTCTTTCCTAGAGAAGAAAAGCCTTAATGCGGGACATGACATTCGATTTTAGGTTAACAGGGGGCTGGCGAGCATTCACAACTTGCTCTGTTGATGCAATCCCCTATTTGGAAGAGGTTGAGGAGCCTGCTTCTAGAAAGCCATGAAGATGTATGATGGAAGGGCCCTGTACCCCAATTTGGAGCAGCTGAGCATGGTCTGCTAACCATGTGGTAAAGAGAAGGACAATTGATGGGCAGCATAGCCAGAAGAGGGGGCCTACAAAAAGCACAAAGTGGACAAAATGAGATGTCCTCATTCCTTCTTGGCTGTGTTCACATGGAGGGAGAAGGACTAAGGCCTAGGTAGGAGTAGGACTCAGGCCTGTTTATTCTCTCCAGGCTGGCGGACATTGGGTTCATGAGTGCATGGCCCTGCTCTTGCTTCTGTCTCTCTTGCTTCTATTTTTCCAGCCTCTGGGTGAAAGTGTGTTATAAGATAGCTACTGCTCTGTTAGCTTTGAAAGGTCAGAATGGTAAGCCATCACAGGTCTAGGGACCAGAGATTTGTGGGAAGCCAGATTGTGAGGTGAGAAGTCCCAAGTGACTTGACTCAGCATGGATGAAACACTACTAAGAGGGAGCTACAGAGATTTGTCCTTTGGGTGTGGTGAATTCAGTGTGTGGGCTAATACTTTGTAAAAAATGCCTTATGTTTGAGCCCACTCTCTGCAGGAACTGAGGAGGTACAGGGGAAAACGCACCCCCAGGTAACAGGGTGTGTAGGGTGTTGCAACTTCTATTCTTTCTGTAAGTAAGAACATTCCATATACAAAATGTCCCTTTGGAAAAAAAAACTAATTAATGTAAGTGAATAAAGGAAATGGATGCACCAATTATTGCCAGTTAACAATGAATGAATGAGCAAAGCATTTATTAAGTGCTTACTATGTGCAAGGCGCTGGGGATACAAATAGCAAAGTACGACAGCCCCTCCTCTCCAGGAGCTCACATTCAAATGGGGAGACATGAGAGGTTTCATGAGAGGTTTCAGCTGCAAGTTACATGCGAAGGTCCCATGGTCCTTAAGCAGCAAAGCAGATGGTTGCGTCTCTTCCTGAATGCCATGTCCACTTTGCATCAGTTTCTGATGAACCATTTGATGGCCAAGGACCTTCCTTTCTGGGTCTTTATTTGCTGTGGCTCTAGTACCTGCAGAAGAAGGTCCAGGTTCTATCTCCATGGCGGCTGCTTCTTAGGATGGTGGCTGAGGGCACTGGGCTAGAAGCCTGGATTTTGGGTTCAGGGGCCTTTGCTATCTCTGCTAGGGTCTGAGGAGATATGGTGATTAAGGTGGTTGTGGTTTGAGAACACATTGTAGTGGGGGCTTGAGATGTTCGCATTAGGGGAAAATCACCCCATCTCTTCAAGGGTACCCTTTGAACTCTTAGGGAGAGATTTTGCCAGCCCAGCTCTGGCACTGAACCTGCTACGGTGCTTCTATATTAGGAGAGTGAGTACAGAGTTTCACTACACAGGTCATTGAAGGGCCCTTGTGTGGAAGAGGGATTAGGCTTCATCTACTTGGCTGAGCAAGGGACGAAGCGGCTGCCATTGCAGAAAGTCAGATTGAGTACTGATGAAAGGAAAAAAACTTCCAAAGAATTTAGGGAATGCAGAAGTGGGAAGGGCCACCTAGGGAAGGGATAGAATTTCCCATTTGAGGATTTTCCTCCTTGTTTGGAAATCTTAGAAGTTGCTTGAAGATCTTTAAGCAATGAAACAGAGGCATGCTAGTTGCCAACAGTAACAACAGTACAGATATTGTCATTTATACAGCAATTAGGGCTGGTAAAGCACTTTCCAGACAGTCCTTCTGACTGTACTGAGAGGCAGCTCTCTAGGGTTGATCATCCCCATTTCACAGAGGGGACTCAGAGGGTAAAGTAACTTTTCCTAGACGCACACCCCCAGTAGGTTCCAAGGACAGAATTTGAACCTGGTGATCTTTTGACTCCAAATCCAGAATTCTTACCATCACAACCACAACATTAAGATGCTACGATTCTGAATCGCCGTGATGGCTGGAGCACAAAAATCATGGAGGCAAGCAATGCACGATCAAGCTGAGAAGGTGGGGCGCTGTGCCCCATTGTAGAGGGCAAGCAGAGGAGTTTGTTGGATAATGGAAAACCAAAGAAGAGCTTTGAGCCAAGGAGTGACATGACTATGTCTATACACAAAATAATTATTCATCAATGAATCAATCAGCAAGCATTTGTTAAGTACCTGTTACATCTCAGGGCAAGTGCTATGAAACAGGGATACAAATACAAAAAAAAAATGAAATAATCCCTACTCCAAAGTAGCTTGTACTCTGTTAAGGATGGGGTACAACAGGCATGCATGTTAGTATGTAAAGAATAAATAGAAGGTAGTTAAATACTAGGTTATTAGGGAGGGAGGACATTGGCGATTTGTGGGATCCGAAAAGGCTTTGGGTGGAAGGTGGCACTTGAGCTACGTCTTAAGGACAGAGGGATTTTCAGAGCTAGAGTGAGGAAGGAATGCATTCCAGGTAGGGGAGATGGCCAACTCAAAGATACAAAGAAGGTAAATTAGGCACTATGGATGAAAAAGAACAAGGTCAGCTTGACTAGGCTGCAGAAGATGGGAGAAGAGTAATCTGTAATGAAGTTAGAGAGCCAGGGTAAGGCCAAGTGGCAAAGGGTGTTCAAGACCAAGCATGACTCTCT